AAGAAAGAGATAATAAATATAATAATGAAAGTAAATATAATTATGAAAATAAATATAGTAAATAAAATAATGATAAACGTAATAATAAAGAAAATAAATATCACAACGATAACTATGATATTAGTGAAAATGATGATCACGATTTTCCTAGTGATCATTGGTGGACGCAGTTATTTAGTGACGCAAACGGATTATCACTAACAACGTCTTGATCTGTTGAAGCAGAAGGTATAGCGTCTTGCTCTTCCTTTGTCGGAAAGGTAACTCCGAATTTCCTAAGGTGTTCCTCATATCTGTTACCCAAAGGAACATTTGTTTTCATATCTTAAGGGATAATATTACAAATCATTTATTTTAAGCTTTTTTTAGCTTGTCTTTGATTACTAATTAAGAATTAACATCATAAAAAAAAAGTTTGACCAACTAACCAAAGACTTCTCTATTCAAGGAGATGCTAGGATCTTTGGCTCCATTTTCCTTGGTACATCCAGCTGCAACGGCGGCTGCTTCAAAACATTTCTGAACGCGCGGTCTCAAATCGGTCAAATCCTTAATAGTTCTTCCACGAACACAATACTCCGATGAAGTATAATCAGGAATAACTGATTTATATTTAAGAACACTTATTACTTTTTATCATTAATATGATGTAAAACAAATCATTAATATGAAAATACTGAACTGTTTGGCGCTTCACCACCATTAGTTATAATTCCATGAATTCTTTTAAAAAAAAAGGGACTTGCATTTATAGATCAATAATAAAGATAATTAATATAACTTAGAAAATACCTATTTGTGGGTAAAATTTGTTGTCGTAATAGCCCAATATTATTATAAGCCAAAATCGTGGCATCTAGCGCATTTGTTCCTTCCCATGGTGCTCCAGAGGCATGTGCAGTTCTTCCAAAATGTTTAACTTCACAAACTTGAACTGCAATATACTTTCTGAAACATCGACTAATAAAAAAAATAAGAAAATAAGTTAGATAATTTGTTAAAAGAAAAAATAAATTAATGATTTTACCTGGGATGAACCATTAAAGAAATATCAACATTATTGTAAGCACCCGCGTCAACTAAATCAATTTTGCCACCTACCTTTTCAAAAAAAAAAAAAAAAAATGAATGAATGTTAATAAACAAAAGATTTGATAATTAACCTTCGGCTGGAGTACCAAATAATTTCACTGTTCCAGGAATTTGATACATTTCAAATACAGCTTTCAATGCAATTGTAGCAGCAACTCCGCTAATTGCAATCAGATCTGATTAAAGCAAATTAATTAAAATCCAAAATCATTATTTCTGATTACGCTTGTGAAAAACTTACTGTGACCACTGCAGAAGGAGTTACGTTAAATCCTTAATTAGATATCCAATTATATAATCGAATAGTATGAGAAAATTTCCACTAAAATGTTTGATGGAATTCTTACCTTGATCTTGGAGATATTTTACCAACAAACCATGAGCAAATTTCTCTTTATAATCTTTATAACCTAAACAATTGAGTAAATTATGAGTAAAATTTTTTTTAAATTTCATGTTAGTTTTAATGAATTAAATTACCTAATTTTGGATTTTCATGAATCTATTATAAATAAATAGAGTAATTGTTGAATAATTATTTTGAATTAACGTTATAACAATCATAGGTTCCTTTAAACTAATAGATCTCAACTCGGAAGATTTATCATCGATGGCTTTAATTGCAACTTCTGTATATTCACTTGTATCTTTGATTTTCATTTTTCGTTAATATTTTAAAAAAAAATTTGGGAAAACGTACCAAAAGTTATTACGCCAAGAAAATTCTAAATTTAGTGATATTGTTACACAATTATTTATAAAGGAAGTTTTCTAGGAAAATCAGGCCGAGAATTTTTTTGACACAATAAAAATCAAAATTTTGTTAAAAAATTTCCAGAGCCTGATTTTCCTAGCAACCTTCCCATATACATTTTACAATTAAATAACGATTGTCCTTATAAAAATTTTTTATTACTAATAACTAGTGACGAAACTTCGCATATATACTTCTTTGAAGCTGTTTTTTTTCATATGGATTTCTTGGACAGCAAGTTACATAAATTTTATATTTTTATGATAATAACAGATAAGCGATTTATTGATTAGGAATTTATGGATATATTATATTACCAATTGCTAGCCTTTTCGGGTTTTATTGATTAGATATATTACAAAGTACCCAACTTAATAATGAAATCGCCATCTACTTTTTTAATCTCTGACAATTTAACACCTTCAGCAGGATGGGTTTCTGCGTAATTTTCACCATTGCTTTTATCATTTGTCGTCTTCAGGGTCTTTTGCTTTACTTTTTCCGGTAGGATCTTGAGCTTGAACCAATCCAAAAATTTCTATGTATCTTGGATGTTTGTTACAGAGTAAAGATCGTTGACCAGCTATTGGAATATTACGTTCAAGTTGACGATACGTTTTAGCAACTTGATTAAGTTGGTTCTCTTTTTCACCCCAATTTCTTGAGCCAAGTCAACTACTATCTTGTTGATCGCAAGTCGGTGCATTTGCTAAAAGAGCCCTAAACATTGCACCTGATAAATTTTCAGCTTGTTCTTCCTTTCCGGTACCTTGAGCAATATCCTCTATATCTTGAAGGGTAGCTTCGGCTTTTGGGGTATGTTCTTGTCCAAAACATCTTTTGGAAAGCATCGCAGGAGCTGCTTGAGCAGTAGCGACAAACGCCAAAGTAATTGCAAAAATTGGTGCAAGTTTCATATTGATTTAATGTTGAGATGATTATTTTAAATATTGCATCAGTTAGGTAATTTTTTTTTTCCTAGACTTTCTCTAGGAAAAAGAAAAAAAGGGAAAAAGAAGAAAGGGATGAGAAAGGAATATGATAAGTAATGAAGGAGCACAGCTCACTATAGGCATGATTAATTTTATTTATGTAAATAACAGCAAAACCATAAAAGTATATGGTTACCAAGAATGGACTTGAAATATTTTACTAAAAGAATCATGTAATGGGATAAATAATGTAACAATGTGATCATCCTATAAATTTATGAGAAATCTTGAGCAAAAGTAAGTATAACAGCTTGGCTTGAGCGTTTTCACTCTAACGGATTATCACATTATTCGCCA